CTTTCCCACGCTCAAGGAGAGAGAAAGCCATAAATGAGCATCAGAGAGCTCAGAGGCTGCAGGCACCACCCACAGAGCTGGCTATCCTAGACAAGGTGCATTTGAGATGAATACATTTGAGCACAGCTATTGCATACACACACCACATATGCCATACCCACAACTGACCTAAAGGAAAGCTGGCAATTCTTAAACTGCCTCAAGACTTTCAAGGTATATAAACTGTTGAGGAATGTGTTTCTCTTCCCTTCTGTAAGCATGGTTCAGATCCAAAAATCTATAGCTGAGCCCTATCTATAGACTGCAGCATTCATAAAACATACACTTCTAGCAATAGATTCATGCATACATTCTTGCTTCTACTAAACTTATTCCACATTAAATTTATTTTAGTAAATATAACAGACTGATTTGGTGTTTAACAGGCTACTTACCACATCCAAGCAGGATCCTCGTTCTGGATGTTTTGGTTCACATCTCTGCCTGCAGAAAAACATAATGTGTGGGTGATGAATCATTTTTACTGGTACTGAAACCAAGTTTTATGGCTAGTTTTCCCTGTGGAGAACATATACTATTAAAACTGTAGCAGGTTTTTGGCATTCGAGAAAACTGTAAGAATGATAAAACACAGCATTAATTTACAAGTTTTATAGATCTAGTTAAACAAAAATGGTAAAGTGTGACTAAAGCGGGTTGATTCAGATTTCTTGATCCAAATCTAGAGGTCTGCCAGGAATATTCCAGTGTACTTTTGGTATTTGTTCAATGAAAAATTCAGATCGATAAAAAACATATCTCCTTGGTGTAATATAGTACAAAACCTGCTAATTAGAAAGAAGGTATTAGAGTCAAGAGTTTTCAGCTAAATAGGTCTTAATAATAGATTCACAATTAAAGCTCTTGAAAAATGAGTTACAAGTAGAAAGGAGGGTAGAATAAAGTCAATCGATGCAAATTACACCTAAAGATAAATACTGCTCTCTAACTGCTAGTGAAGAAAAAAAGAAAGAGACTTCTGAAAACACACCTGAGAAGTGAGCAGCTCCCATCCACCTTTACCTGACATAAATATAAGCCTGACAAAGTAGTGCATAGTCTCTCCACAACAAATGGAAGAACAGATTAACAGCCATAATTTTAAAAGGCTGCAAAACCACCAAGGAAATTTCCCAACTAATAACAGATTACCAGAACTTGAGAGAATTTTCATGCATCTTTCTTTCATGCCTGATTGTCCCCATAAAGCTCTACCTTCCTTTTGCCTGGGAAAGTCGGGCAATGTTTTGTTGGTGGGTTGGAGTTTTTTTAAGCTTTGTTTTGTTGCTTATGTCCCAAATCCTTCAGCCCCAGAAAAGGCCATGGAAGGAAATAACTGCATATAACATGAAAGATAAAGGTGCAAGAAAGGACAAGGTTGGACACATGAGGGGACTGCCATAACGACCCTTTCTCATGTTGTGAAGTGCAGCTTTGTGGTAGAGAAAACCATGGACATGGGTTTTACACTCAGTAAGGATCCATCAATCAAATCCCTTTCTCCACAAGTAGGCATTGGCCTGGGAGGAAGGGGATTGCAACTCAGGTACAAAGTTACAGTTATACATTTTCATCAAGTACATTTTCTGAAGGCAAAATGAGTATCCATAAATTTAATAACACATAAAGTGTATGATATCATTTTTAAATGAGCACGGCCTTATGGGAGCACTTTTGAACCACATATGTGGAAATTGAATATAAATACAATAAAGACAGTTTTGAACAGAAAGCTATTGACAACAGGTTACACATGTTTTGGTATATATTTTTCCCTCACTGCTTGTGTAAAACCTCTATTAATACTAACATAAGCTAAGCAAAGGCACTGAGAAAAGAGCATGGTAGTTTAACTTATGACCCTTAATGGATTGCTATTTTCTTTTCCCTAAAACCGCAAGTCTTTGACTTCAGGAAAACCGACTTTGACAAGCTCAGGAGGCTTGTCAGTGAGGCCCTAAGGGGCCGTGACCACAGGGAGAGGGGAGTTCAAGAGGAGTGGTTGCTCCTCAAGGGAGCGATCCTCAATGCACAAACTAAGTCTATTCCATCTCGGAGGAAAGGCAGCAAGAGGGCACAGCAGCCCCCCTGGCTCTCCAGGGACCTAGCAGATCTCCTGAGGCTAAAAAGAAAGGCCTACAAAGGATGGAGGATGGGAGTCACCTCCAAGGAGGATTATTCTGCACTGGTCCGGTCCTGTAGGGAGCAGACCAGGAAAGCCAAGGCTGCAACTGAACTCCAGCTAGCTTTGAGCATCAAGGACAATAAAAAGTCCTTTTTCATATATGTGGGGAGCCGGAGGAAAAGCAGGGCCAACATTGGACCCCTGCTGAATCAGATGGGGCAACTGACAACTGACGCCCAGGAAAAAGCCAACCTATTAAATAGGTACTTTGCGTCAGTCTTTCATCAGTCCCATGGGACACCCATACCCGCTACGGGACAGGGAAGTCCGGGTGAGGGTGACCCCCTGCCCTCCATTAACACTGACTTTCTGAAGGAACATCTTGAGAAGCTGGATACCTTCAAGTCAGCCAGCTCCTTGAGTACCCCGGGGGTGAAGATTGTCAGGGCCGGCTGACTTGAAGGTATCCAGCTTCTCAAGATGTTCCTTCAGAAAGTCAGCATTAAAGGAGGGCAGGGGATCACCCTCACCCGGACTTCCCGGCCCTGTAGCAGGCATGGGCGTCCCATGAGACTGATGAAAGACTGACGCAAAGTACCTATTTAATAGGTTGGCTTTTTCCTGGGCGTCAGTTGTCAGTTGCCCCATCTGGTTCAGCGGGGGTCCAATGTTGCCCCTGCTTTTCCTCCGGCTCCCCACATATCTGAAAAAGGACTTAGTTTCATAGTTTCAGGGTCGGAAGGGACCTAATAGATCTTCTAGCCCGACCCCCCGCCAGGGCGGGAGAACAACCCAAAAA